GAGAGTCGCACACTCAACGCCTGGAGCACAAGCTGAGAGACCAAGACACCATCATCCGAAAGATGGAGGCGAAGATTGAGGCGTTGAAATGACAATTCAAAGGGAAGGGTGTTGCTGGAGTGGGAAACCACAGTGAGCGCACCCAACCTCGTCACTTAGGCAGCTAGAACCAGCGAAGGACGCCCTTCTTTTCAATCACCAGGACCTATGGGGTTGGTGACTCTGACCTGTTGATGGAGAAATCGTACATACGAGATAGCAGCTACCGTCCCTCACGTCCATCGACAACATCGAGATACTCTTACTCCACCAGCTCAGAGGACTTGAGGGACATCTTGGAAGAACAAGCGCGTCAGCAAGAAACGCAAAGGGTGCCGACACTGCAGCGGTTGTCCTACGACGGTCGCGCCAGCGAAGAAGTTGTAATGCCACCATCACGCGCAGCTGTACAAGTCCCTTTGGACAGAGACTTGGTGAAGCTGAGCGCCACCCCTTTCTCCCTCGAGATAGAGACCACGCCGCTCCCTGTGGGCTTTCACCAGTCCAAGTTTACACTTTATGACGGAAAAATCGATCCATACATGCATGCGAGCTATTTCTAGCAAGTTATGGCTGGCTACAAGTAGAACGACGCACTTATGTGACTAATTTTCCCATCAAGTTTGGGTGAGTAGGGGCTGAAATGGTTTGAGAGACTGCCAGAGGAAAGTATCGAAATGTGGCAGTAGTTGGCGAAAGCGTTTGTAACTCGATTCAAAACCAACACCAAAACACCCAAAGAAGTTGCCCACCTTCTGAGCGTCAAGATGGAACTGGGCGACTCACTCAAAGGGTACAATGCCAAATATTGAGAAACCTTCAACGAAATTCTTGATTGCCCGACCAACTTGGCAATCACTCAATACAAGCGCGGTCTCCCGGTCGGACATACGCTGAGAGATTCGCTCACCATGAACCAACCGACGACCATTGAGCTACTAATGCAACGCATTAACGAGCACATCCAAGTAGAGGATCATGTTGTCGTGGTCACTACGAAAGCGAATCCGGTGGCAACAGATAAAAGAGTGGCCGGAAAGGTTCACGCAGTTAGATAGGAAGCAAACCGTCAGAGCAATCGCGAAAGAGAATCATACCGCGGTGTAAACCCTAACAATCGAGGTAAGGGTCGTTGCAATGACCAAGATGACTACCCCCGTGATGCTGCGGAAGATACAAAGAGAAAATTGAACACCTGAACAAGCATCACCATGGTTTTCAAGATCTCAATCTACTGCATCCTTAGCGAAATTCGCGACGAGGCATACGTCCGGTTTCCGTCTAAGTTGGGCGACACACAAAGGGGCTTTAATCCGTGGTATTGTTGCACCTTTCATGATGAGCGAGGGTATCGTACCGAGGACTGTCTGCCTCTAAAACAACACCTAGAGGAGTTGGTGGCAGCTGGCCACTTGGACCTTACATTGACGAAGGCTTCAAGGCACCGCCCCAAGCTCCAGTCGAACCAAACGATTTGGCCACCTTAGACGCGCCCCCCCGAGGTGTGATCCATGTGATTGTTGAGCCGGGGTGGGTTTGTGAGCTCCGAGGAATGATAAAGAAGGCGGAACACATGCGCGAAATTTTGTCAATCCAACCTGCAGTCAAAAAGGGCAAAATCAAGATGAAGGATGTTCTCAGCTTTTCAAGTCGAGATCTTGAACGAATCCAAACCCCACACAACGATGCACTAGCCGTGACGTTGCGCGTCAAGGATTACGACGTCAAACAAATTTTAATTGACCAGGGAAGTTCGGTTGAAATTGTCACAACCCAAACCCGCCCCTAAAAGTTTAGGTTATGACCAACCTGTACTCAGGCCTTAGAGACAAATTTTCAAAATATTTAAATCATATCAAGGCCTAAAGCAGAAGCAAAACAAAAATAATAAATGTCCATTGAGCTTGTGCATACATGATGACTAAAGTAAGTAAAACATTTAACTACACTTCCATATTTACATATACAAATCTCACACACTATATAGCCTTTAAACAAAACTAAGCTTGGGAAATTATGCTACGTCTTTACACGGAGACACTTCCTGAGTGGCTTGACAGTGAGGCGAACTTCAGTACAAACTCTAATGTTGATCCTTCGATGGCTCACCTACATATATATAAAGTAAAAGGGTGAGCTAACTCCCAGTGAGTAATAATAAAGTAAGGAGGTTAATGACTGAAACATATCTTAAATCATTACAAAACATTTTACGTGGTACGTGGTGCATCCACTTATACAAAGGGTCAAATCATATTTTAAAATAGGACATCCATGCATTCATATAAAATAACATTTCGTAACATGAGTCATATAGCGATGTAAAAACATTTGTACTCATATCATGTTTTCTGAACGACCTCAGGTTCACGTATAACAAAACGGCCTTAGGCCCAATCATGTATCAAAATGACCTTAGCTCTAAATGTATCATATCGTATCACTGTATCTTATCATGGAGTAGATGGAACATCAACATGTCTCCACCTCTTCTTGGGCCCAATTCATGTATGTATGGACCCGAGAGGTGACTCATACGGAGTCTAGAGGTGACTTTCACTGTAGCACTTAGTTCCGTACAACATTTTGTTTTATACCAGAAATCAATAAGTCTTAAAGACTGAACAATTCATATCATGTCATAGCATAAACAGAACGGATAAACGGAATGCCCTTGGGCCCACCATATCATATTATAAATAATTCATATTTCATATCCATATTCCATATCATAGGTCTTGTAACTCATTCATTCGCATAAAACATAATTCCAAAACATCACAACAGTTATGTATCAAAATAAATATAAATGAGCATATATTTACAATATTATTAGTCACATTGATGGACTTCTGGTAGCAGTTGGGCGATGTCCTTGTTTTGACCTACAAACACAATTACATAGCATAACATATTGAACATATAATTACTCTCTTGATCAAAGTTACTTCTCTTAATCTTTGATTAATCAAATAAACCGAACGCTTACTTTGCCTTAACCAATTATTTATACTGGTTCTAAACTCATTAGTCCTCAATGGCTCATAATTCATATCAAGGAAAATATAAAGAAACGAAAGGAAACTGGGTTAGCAGAAGAAATAACATGAAACCAATAGACAAAAAATGAACAACCTTCACTAATTTGAACATATCTAGTTGTGTACTTAGAATTTGGGTGTGAGACCACCACCATGAGAAATTAGACTTTTAGAGCTTCAATTTAGGCTCAAGAATCACTTAAAACGAAGTCTGGATGGAGGATATATGCTTATATGAAATTGGACTGAAACATGAGTGCCCCACACCTGTGGGAAACAGGGCCGCCTGTGCGGGAATTGGGCCACACGTGCTGGACAACGTGCTTTTTTAGTATAATCAAATTGGGTGCTGGAAATGGACCGTCGCACGTGCGGCACTAGGTGAGAAAATCTATCTGAGCAAGATCTGTTGGTTTCAAGCTGAATTTCTTCATTTCCCACCTAGGACTCACTTTAAATCACTCCCAAACGCATGTAATATCAATGAAAAACGTGAGATTATAATGATTTTCTAAATCAAAACCTCAAAAACATAAGGAATCTTTAAGCAAGAAAGATCAAAATCTTTGTTTAGTTCTTTTCCAAACTTTTCAAAACTTCTTCTTCCAAAGCCACATAAATCTTTACTTCATATATCATTTTATGAGTTCAACTCATACAAAACCTTAAGATTAAGGCTCAATTCAAGCAATTCCATCTAAAAAACATGACATCTAAACATGATAAACATGAAACTCAAGCTAGATTAGAGCATAACTCTAACATACAACTTTCTAATTTCCATTTTCTTCATCTTTCACATATATATATATACATGAGCTCAAAGCATGCAAAGAGACAAATTAGGAAACAATTCCTTACAATCCAACCTAACACAAGCTCAAAACACAAGAATCAACCCTTTGACTAAACAAACCCAAAGATTACATGCTAATTTCATGAGATTTGTTAAGTTTAGATCATAAGCCAAAACCCCTAGCTTTCATGAGTGCTAAAGCTTCATGTCAAAACTTGATTCCAACCAATTAAAGAAGGATTTACACTTACCTTAAGCCAATCTTTGGGTTATTCTCTTAAATTCCTCTAATCTCCAAGCTTCTAGCTTGATTTCTTCTTCTTCTCTCCCTTTTCTCTTCTTCCTTTCTTTCTCTAGAACTCTCTCTATTTTCCTCTACACATTTATGCCTCTTAAAAGGATAAAGAGGAGTTCAACTATGTATATATAATATATATTAATTATTTAGCTTATTTGAGTCTTAAGCAAGCCTATGTCAGAGTTTAGACTAAATAAATCTAATTAATTCATTATGAATCAAATTTTTACAAAACTTCATATTATGTCCTAAAAATCATAACTGTAAAATCAATTTCGGTTTATCGCGCCTCTAAGGCTTTCAATTTCTAGTCCAACGGTCACAATTTCAACAGATTTTTTTTATAACCGACAGATACAATCTCATAAGCATATAATTCACACATTCAAACATGGAATTTCTCCGCACGCATATAATCACACGTATAATCACGTAGATAATGAAGGGATTAAAGTTTAGGCAGCATATGAGAGAGTCAAGTTGTTACACTCTTCCCCCCTTTAGAAAGTTTGGTCCTTCAAACTTGTTTTATCCTGTCACAAGTCCAGTTCAGAAATCTTTGCCTCCTATCATTGACCAGTTCCATCTCAAATATTCAACATCCTTCAATCATTTATTGGCCAATTGGTAACCCAATTTGATAATAATACTCAGTAACATCAAAACATCATTTTATTAATCACAAAACTCGTACATTTCAATTTACAACCTCATCCTAAGCAGATGATGGCTTCATATCATGTAAGCAGTAGCATTGGCTTATCACCAAGTCCTGAGGTTCCCTTCTACTGCCGGGATAATAGAGGAAGTTTAGGGCGATCAAGTCATGGCCAAGCAGTGCTTTGTGGCCATGAACAGAATCCGAACTACCAAGGGTTTCTTGCAAATGATTGAAGGACCGGAAGATCAAAGTGTCCTGGATGACGTGGGTATTAGGGCCGAGGAAAAGGCCATCGAAGACTTGGTGAAAGTACGGATCAACGAGAATGATCTGGAGAAGTTCTTTCTTTCTCCGCCTCCATGCACAAGTCTGGAACATCTGGTGATCCGAGCTCACTACCACTTTGTCTCACCTATTTTCTCTCTCTCTAAGTGTGCTAACTTGATCGCCGGAGGGGTTTCCGGCAGCACACCACCGAGTAGCTCACCATCTTTGTGTTCTCAAGTTACTTGGAGGGAAGCGTAGCTTGGATATGAGGAGTACGGATAGCGTCGGATATTTGGCTCCTATACAATATTTATTACACATGAATGAAGAAAACTTGAAAATTTAGAGTGCTTGGAATTCTTTGTTTTATTTGTATACTTTTGATAGTCACATATTATATTTTTTTGTATTATATGGTTGTTACAAGTTATATAATTAAAGTGCTATGCGTTTTTATTTCAACATTAGTTTGCTTTTAAAATTTACTTTTACAAAGTGATTTTGAAACAAATAAAAATATTATATAACTCAATTTTCATATAATTTTTTGGGAGATTTGGTCAAAATTTCATCATAATAAAACTTTAATACATTAAGGACAAGTATAAAAAATTTTTCTTAAAAAGTCTAACACATACCACTATTATCAAAATATTAAACTTTAAAATAATATAACTTTTAATCTAGATGTTTGTTTTGTAATAAAATTAGTATTTTTAGAATTCTCTTATCAAGACCAATCAAACAAGATCCGTGTTAACTATGAAATTCTTAAAAAAAAAATAAAAAATATTACAATCGAAATTGATATAAACAGTAACATGTTACTTTGTCTTACAATAACATGTTATTTTGTCTCACACTAACATATTACTCTGAAAATATTGTCCAAGATTTTATTTTATTTTATTTTATTTTATTTTACTTTGTCTCAATTATGCGTCTCCTCCTTAAGGGATTTATGAAGCAAAACAAATTAGACTGTTTTTTTCACCAAATAAGGGTCCAATAGAAGGGTTTTGACTAAGTTTTTCAATTTTTTTTTAACTAATCAAACCCATTCAAAATTTCCTCCCGCCAACTAAACTCATTCAACTAATCAAACAGATTAACAAAAATTGGCATTGATGTTGTGCCAAACACTCGTATTGTGAGACTTAAGATTTATTTTATTGTCATAGTCAAATTCTAAGATTTTTTTTTTAAATATAATTTCTCCTAAATATTTTGTTGCCTAACAGGGCCTAAAGTATATTTTTGTTTCGTGTATATATATATATATATATATTTTAATATATTAAAACGGTGCCGTGTGAGTGTCACAACATGATGCTGTGATAGCACGCACCCTTTATTCCTGGTTAGAGCATCTCCAATGGTTTGCCATTGGAGCTGCCATTGCTATATATAGCAGCTGCCATTGAATTTTGATAATCCAATGGCAAAACATAGCAGCTGCTAAATTTGAGAAATGCCAAAACTTGTGTCAAATTTGACCCAAGTTTTGGCAGCTGCCATTCATGCCAACTCAGCCAAAACCAACGGTTTCCCTCCCTCCCTCCTTCCTTTCCTCCCTCCCTTCATGCCAACTTAGCCAATTCATCAAACAGATTCACAGATTCACAAATTCACAGAAAAAAATTATTATCTGTTTGTCAATTTGATTCATCAAACAGATTCAATTTGATTCATCAATATGACGAAATTTTTTCTTTAAAAACCCAAATCAAACACAAGAGATGTGATCAGAACAAGCCAATTACAACCGAGATTGATTAACAATAGAAGAGAAAGTCTAAGAAATTAAACACAGTAATCAAGAAACTTTACTTGAATGTCCCAAGAAAATCACTAAATAAAAAGACTAAAAAAATTGAAAATTTTCCATTACATTTATTTTTGCAGAACTACAGGGGACAAAATAGGGAGAAATATGATGAAAAATTTTCATTGAAAACTCAAACAAAAAACACATGAGAAAGGTTGATTAAAAATAGAAGAAGAAATCTAAGAAAATAAAGTGATCAAGAAACTTACTTGAATGACTAGTCATGGCCAAGAAAAGCACTAAATACACTGGAATAACAACCATGGTAGGAGACTTCCAGACAATAAAATATGAGAGAGACAGTCGGTAGCAATGGAGTGTGGCGTGTCTATTCCTGATTTTTTATCTATTATTCAATTGGAAGATCAGTGAAGATCTGTGAGGCTCTGTTTCACTACTCTGGAAGATCAGTGAAGATCTGTGAAGATCAGTGAAGATCGGGACCAAGATCAGTGAAGATTTGGAAGATTTGAGAAGAGGAGATGAGAAAAGAGGAGAGAAAGATGAAGATTGGTGAGGGCAATGAAGGAAGGGAGAGAGAGAGAGAGAGAGAGAGCTTGGTGTATAGATAGATAGATATATTCGACTCAAACAGAAGGGCATATAGATAGATAGATAATGCACGGATTGTTCTACATAGATGGATGGCTGTGCCGTTGGATCATATAATCCAATGATGCTATTTTGTGAAAGGAATGCACATGGGTTTGAGTAACGACTCTTTTTCATCATTTTTCAAACAACAACTATAAATTAACGGGCATTTTTTTCAAACGGTCATATTCTGTATTTCTATAAATAAAAACTCTTCATCTCAATTTCATTTCACACTAAACATTTTAAATTTTATTTTTCTTTTCTCTTCTCTTTATCTGAATTTTATTTCACACCAAACTTCACAAATTATTTTCTTCTTTGTTTTTTCACACAATCACTATGGAAGGTTCATCAAAAATGAAGAGAGGAAAATCATTTACCACTCAAGAAGATGTGGCAATTTGTAGAGCTTGGTGTCACATTACTGAAGACCCAATTGTTGAAAATTTACAATCTCATGCTCATTTTTGGGGAAGAATTTTTGAAAATTATTGTTCATTGCAGAATGATCGCTCAATAACACAAGTGTCTATCTCATCTCGATGGGGTGTAATCATGAAATGTTGTAACAAATTTCGTGGGTGTCTAGCGCAAGTCGAAAATCTACATCCAAGTGGGGCGTCACAAGTTGATATAGTAAGATTTCATTTCCATTTATTATGTTAGTTTTTTTATTTGTCTTACATAAAAATTAACTGATTAATTAATTTAATATTTTATTGATATAGATGCTTCAAGCAAAACTGTTATACCATCAAGATGAAAACAAGCATTTTCTTTTTGAACATTGTTGGCCAATCTTGCAAAACAATATCAGGTGGCAAGATGTAACTCCTACGAACACGGTGAAGTCAAGAATACATACACCGTTTTCCCCTAATTCAACCCCTAATTCCCCTATGAATAACTGCATTTCTCTTGAAGATGACACCAGTCCAAGTGTTGGTAACAATCCAACTGTCGATGAGGGCAGTGTCTCTGCAAAGGGTAAAAGGCCGATGGATAGGAAATCTGCAAAAGAATTATTTCGAAAAAATCAAGTCGCTCAAGCTGAAGTTCAAAAAATGGGCACACAATTGGACACATTTAACCAATACCTTGCTGAGAAGGAAAAGAAAAAAGATGAAAGAGAACAAAAAAGGATTGAAGCACTGCAGGAGATGAAAGAACTCGAGATGAAAAAACATGACTTCGAGATCATAAGACAAGAACATGAGATGAAAAAACATGACTTCGAGATCATAAGACAAGAACATGAGATGAAAAAACATGACTTCGAGATCATAAGACAAGAACATGAGATGAAAAAACATGACTTCGAGATCATAAGACAAGAACATGAGATGAAAAAACATGACTTCGAGATCATAAGACAAGAACATGAGATGAAAAAACATGACTTCGAGATCATAAGACAAGAACATGAGATGAAAAAACATGACTTCGAGATCATAAGACAAGAACATGAGATGAAAAAACATGACTTCGAGATCATAAGACAAGAACATGAGATGAAAAAACATGACTTCGAGATCATAAGACAAGAACATGAGATGAAAAAACATGACTTCGCTTCACAATGTAATATTATTTTTTCAATGTATAATGTCCACTAATTTGTATTATAATTTAATATTTTCAATAAAGTATAATGCAAAAAAATAAATATATTTTTTCAAATGAAGGCAATAAAAAGATAAAATACTTTAGCTGATATTAAATGAAGATAATTTTATTATAATAAAAAGACATTATAATATAAACATATAATTTTTTTCAATTTTTTCAATTTTTCATTTTTTTATATTTGTCTAGTTGGGAAAAATATAAATATATAATTTTTTTAACAAACAGGTAAAAAAATGTCACAAAAGACAAAAAATAAACAAAAATAAAATCACAAAAAACCTATATCCAAACAATACCTACAACCTTGGAGGGAAAGTTGGTTGAGATTTGCCAAAAATAGCAAATGATCATTGGAGCACTATTGCTATAATTTGACAAAATAATACTATTCATTACCAAATTATAGCAATAACAATAACAAAATAGTAATAACCATTGGAGATGCTCTTAGTCTGTCAAATTTTAAGACTGATACTTAAATATTAGAGACTCATCAGGAGAACCGACAAATTTAAGAGAGAATTTTAAGACTGATACTTAAATATTAGAGACTCATCAGGAGAACCGACATTTAAGGCTAAGTTTGGGTACTCCCAAAAAAGCCAAAAAGCCAAAAAGTTACTCAAAAAGTTAAAAAGTTAACACTATTCACCAAAAGTCAACAATTACGGCTGCACAACTCCCAATTCAAATTTTTCTCTACAAATCAATTTTTACAATTTTTTATTACACATTTTTCAATAAAAAGTCAAAAAGTTAACCCAAACATCCATATTTTCAACCTCAATTTTTTAGTCCAAAAAGACAAAAAGTGCACTTATTTAGTCTTCCCAAACTTAGCCTAAATGTGCTCCCCAAATCCACTTGTTATTTTCTTCCCCCAAATGTAAAACTTTCATTCTTTTTAAGTGTATTGTGTTATTGACGTGGAATCATAAAGGTTGTTCAGGACAAAAGATAACCAAACATAAGGAAAAAAATAATGTACTCAAAATAAAAAAAGAGTCATGGTGGAGATCTCCTCTAATCACTGCCCTCACAACTCCCACAGACACATAACAGGTGGTGATTGGAGGAGCAGAAAAAAAAGAAAAAAAGAAAACAAAATGTAACTAATAAGAGAGAAAGGAAGTCAAAGGGATGGTGGAAAAAGGGGACATGAAATATTTTTAATAAAAAAAATTGATTTAGGTGTTGGTAGACTTTACTCTCCGTGAGATGTGTCACATTCTACTGGGGGTTGTTGAGAGAGGGAGAGAGAGAGAGAGGAGAGGAGAGGAGAGGGAGGGCCCGCGACGTACATCTCCATCATTCAATTTTTTAATTGTAATATTACAAATTTATTTTTATTAATTTTAAATTTATTTAAAAAAAATTTAATAATTTAAATTTATATCATCCCTATAAACTTTATATTTAATTAATTCAATTTTAATTACACATATAAATTTAAAAATCATATAAATTTATGAATGAATTCCTAGTGTTTTTGCTTTTTAAAACAGTCACAGCAAGTCAGCCAGCCAATTGTTGGTAATGGGGGTTGGTGATGTGGTTTGTTCGCCCACCCACCCTTGTAATTGTAAGTCGTAGCCCAGCCCAGCCCAGCCACGCCACGCATATAAACAGACCAGCAAAGCAAACAACAATTATTTGTGGAATTAATATATCAATCTTCTTGTTTCTTCGGAGATCGAGTTTTTTGGTCTGGTCTGGTCTGGTGGAGGAGCATTTGTTTGAGTCTGGTAGTGGTAGTGATACGTAGATCGGAAAATGAAGGTGATAGAGAAGATCAGAGAGTCAGAAGGAGGAGATAAAGTAGTGTTCTCGTTCGAGTTCTTTCCTCCGAAGACGGAAGATGGAGTGGACAATCTGTTCGAGAGGATGGACAGAATGGTGATTCATAACCCATCATTCTGCGACATCACATGGGGAGCTGGTGGATCCACAGCAGATCTCACTCTCGAGATATCCAACAGAATGCAGAACATGGTGTGTGTGGAGACCATGATGCATCTCACCTGTACCAACATGCCCGTTGACAAGATCGACCACGCCCTCGATTCCATCAGATCCAACGGCATCCAGAACGTCCTCGCCCTCCGCGGTGACCCTCCTCACGGCCAGGACAAGTTCGTCCAAGTCCATGGCGGCTTCGCCTGTGCCCTCGATCTGGTCTCTCTCTCTCTCTCTCTCTTCTACAAACTAATTCAGATTATTATTTAATTTTTTAATTTAATCTCTCCTTAATATTGTGGGCGGTTGTGAAGTGGCTTTTTTATGTAGGTTTTTTTAGTTGTAGGATATTATTAGATAAAATTGTTTTGGTATTTAGGAAGATAGTTGAGTTTTTTTGTGATTGAATGTGATATTTGTGAGAGAAAAAAATAAAATAATTATGGGGTTGCATGTGATATTTTATTTGCATGTGTTTTTTTTTGATTTTGCAAAAAATTTATCTTTTAGGGAAAAAAATAAAAAAAAAATTCCCAAACCCAGTTCCCAAACACCACTAAATTGTTTAATTTAATGTCAGCTTTCTTGGCCTCCTAATGGTTAGATTGCTTCAGATTATTAAAGAATGTGGGTGTTTTGGAAGTGGGTTTTTATGTAGATTTTTTTTTGTTAGTGGTAGGATATTATTGATAATTTTTTTTGGTGTTTGAAAAAATAATTGGGTTTTTTTGTGGTTGGATATGATGTTTGTGAAAGAAAAAATGAAATGATTATGGGGTGAGATGTGATATTTTATTTGGATGTATTTTTTTTTTTTTTTTTGTAAAAAGTTTGTCTTTTAGTGAAAAAAAAAAAAAAAATCCCAAATCCAAGTTCCCAAACATTTGTTTGGTAGATTAGAATGGATCAGATGGTTGGTGATGAGAAGAGATTGTTAACGTGGGAATTATTGTGAGGAGATTAAGCAAAAGTATTTTTGTTTTGATGATAGTATGAGAATTAATTAACGATGGGATTGATAAATTATTTTTATATAAAATAAAAAAAACATATTTCTATATTAAAAAAAAAAGTCTGAAACAATTCTAAAAAATGTTTAGACATAACAGCAGTTGAAAAAAAAAAGAAAAGAAATGGTTTTCTTTCAATCCCGTGGGACTCATTTGTCAATCCCAGGTCATTAGCGGCTATGCTAGTCCCATTGCTCAGGCTCCGTTTGGGAAGTTAGGATTTGGATTTTTTTTGGGTTAAAATAGTTGTAAAAAAATAAAATAGATTTTTTAGTCTAATAAGATAAAATATCACATTCAATCCATAATCATTACCTTCTTTCTCTCACAAAACGTCCAAAGTCATTCTCAAATGAGACTTTTTAGCCCCTAAGTTAAAATAACTAGAAAGTCAAAAAGTCAACCCACTCTCTAAACGAACGCTCAGTGGGATTGTGAATCCTATTGGATTATTAATCCGGTGGTTAATTACACAGCCAAACATGCTTTCAATGGAGCCACATCGATCTTATTCCAGTCCTACTACTCATGCTGGATAACAAACCTGACCTAAAAGAGTAGACTCTAAGCTTAAGTAGTTTATAATGTTTGGTTTGGAATTTATAAAAATAGTTTCCGACTTTTCAATTCGTATTTTTAATCAATTTTTCTTTTTAAGTCTATCTAGATTAGATTAAGTGCATCTAAAAAATAAAAAATTTGAATAAAATATTAAAAAAAAAAATCACTAAAACAAAAACAATACGAAAAATAAAAAACTCAAGTGGGTTAAACCAAACAAGGTGAGAAGTAACTTTCTTTTTTTTGTTTTTTAAAGATATTGTAACTACTTGCAACATAAATGACAAATATTATAGGACTGGGTTTCACACATGGGGCCTTGGAGAAGTCTTCTCAAATAGCTATTAAAGATCTTCTACAGAGTGTAGAGCATTGTAAATGAAATCATTAAGAAAAGGAATTGTAAAGTTTAACTCATCTTTTTTGTTTTTCTCTAATAAAATTCTCTTTGATGCCAATCAAAAAAAGGGTTGTAAAGGTTTTATAGTGGCTATGGTTGACAGGAATGGAAGGTTGGAATTAGAGAAATGACAATATAGGAAAAGGGCAAATGAAAACTCAGCCCTAACATAGCTGCTTCTTCTTCTTCTTCTTTTTTTTTTTTTTAATTCATTTGATGCTTCAAACAAACTTAAATCTCTTTTTACTAACTCTGAAGTTTTCTGCATGGTTATACATGCCCAAAAGCAACCAAAAACTTCATGAAATAAGGGTTTAAAGAGAAAAAAAAGAAAAAAGAAAAAAGAAAAAAAGAAAAAGGCCTTCACAAGTAGGTTGGGCTTGGCTTGCTAAGGAGTTCATTTAGGCTTGTCCAACTGTTAAGTGACTTGAGCTTGAGCTTGATCTTGGTATTCAAGTCATTTTTAATAAATCTCAATGTACCAACCGAAGTTTAGATTGGAGTTCGTGTACAAGTTGCACCTACCATGATTTATTTGCATATATGTAAGCATGTTGATTTAGCACTTCCTTAGTTTGATGTTACTCACTCGGTCCCATTTTATTTGTCCATTTTGGAAATTCCAACATTTTAACGGGAAGTACATTAAATGCATTTGAATTCAAATTCAAATGCACTATTTCCAACAATTGCCTCTTTATTTTCCACTTTCAAATAAACTTATAACTATTTATAAGGGATAGTTTTGGAAACTTACACATTCTATGCTTTGACTTTTCAAAGTGGACAATCTTTTTGGAACATCTCAAAATGGAATTATAGAAAAACAAAACGGTACTGAGGGAATAGTTTTTTGTATTTATATATATATATATATATATAATTTTTCTTGCAACATTTTCTTATGCATGTGTGCTCCTCTTCCTCTAGATTTTTGTCTTCTTTTGTTTGTAATCTTTTTCTATCACTTCTCATAACTTCCATTTAGTATAAAATTTTTCCGAATCTTCCAAAATCTGGGTAGAGATAGGTTGAGAAATGGATTTGGGGTCTGTCTTTGGAAGATTTTATCATTAAAACTTGTTGACATAGAGTTTGGATGTTCCATCCTTTTTCTTTTTCCTTTTTTTTGTTTTTAAATCAGGGTTTGCATATTTGAGAAGTAGCATTCATCCATTCTTTAGCCAAGTTGAGATAAAGTTGAAAACCACCTTATCCATGCAACAATAATTTTCTTGGCCATATTAGTTGAGCTGAGATTAAAGAGATTGCACCAAGTTCAAACCCTGACATAGCAAATACTCTGCTTGGGCTGACTGTTAGCAGCCAAGTTGTGGGAAGGGCCCTATTACTTTCATTATGAGATTTTGAGCTGATCCTCTACACTTACAAACTACGCCACTTATAAATAAATAAATTAAAAGTAAATAAAAAATTTAAAAACCAAGTCCATTTGTCCTTTAAGTACTTCCATTCATAATTGTTAATACACCTACATTTAGCCTTATGGTGATGATTGGATTGCGGGTGTTAATGCCTAATTCCTTTAAAAGTATTTGCCCACATAAGCTTGAAAATTCTATATCTTATTGCCTATGTTACATACATAGACTCTTTTAAATGTATGTAGTACTTGTGTCAAACACTTGACACTTGGGTGAGGGTATGGAATGCGTGTTCGATATTTGTAGTTGGAAATTAACCTACTGGCATATTTAGTAATTTGGGTTAATCATTAAGCTAATATGAAATGATTATGACGCCATGTGAACGTTATTCTATCCTAAAAAATAAAATAAGCATATTAAGAAATTTGAATATTTTGTTGTGTTTGTGTGTCCTTAGACATGATAGTAGATGAATCATACACTTGGACACATATCCACACTTGACACCCCAATATTTTTTTTTGTGTGTGTGTGTGTGTGTGGGTACATCGGAAATAAATGGCACCCCTACTTAAGCCCATGTAACATAGCCCATGGCTTGACATAACCATTGCTCTTGATGTTGCCACTCCTTTTAATTATGTTTTGAATGAAGTTTTCTCTAATTAACATAAGGTATTCTATCTTTTAAAAAAAAAAAGAAGGTATTAAGCTTTCTTTTTTCTAGGGCAAATTTCACTTTATCCCCCTATAGGCCATGTGCTCATAGCCCCCTATCATTTGGAGAATCACTTTTAATCCCTATAATTTGTAGACTAGAAGGCACCGCCATAGTTTCCATTCAAATTAACGAAAAGTGCATTACGTGCTCCTATATTCTAAATGACAAGAGGATATGTGCCAATAACCTAAACCACAAGTGGTAAAGTGAATGATTTAGTTCAGAAGAGAAGATAAGGGGTTTTTAGGTCAATTTACAAGTATCGTTAATTGAAGTTAGTGGCATGTTTTAGCTCCCAATCTGGTCTGTCTGCTTCCAACCCCCCCAACCAATTCTTCCCCATTATTTTATTCTATTTTATTTGATCTGATCCAATCTCTCTCTCTCTCTCTACCATAGTAGCACTACAACTATTTGATCTTTGGCTGTCTTGTTGGTATATGCTTAAATTTCATTTCTATTTTTGATGCTACTCTACTCTACTCTACTCAGCTTTTGTTTGTGTGTTATTTTTAATTTTAATTTTATTTTTGATTAATGATATACAAATAAAAAATTTTGTAGATCCATAAACACGGTAAAAGATTACTTATATTTACAAAAATGACAACACATTCTTGTGTTATTTTTTTTTTTTTTTGTAGTATGAATTTTATATATGAATGAATGAGAATTCTATTATATACACACCCACATACCCACACATATCATATGCATTTTTAGTTATGACCAATTTTTTGGTTATGACTTTTTTGTGTTTGGTTTTGATTTATTTATTTATTTTTTAGTTATGACTAGAGTTATGCCATTTTATAAGGTGCATATATACCATAGTCTTTCCTTGAATGAATAGAGTTTTGCTTTAATTTTTAACAGGTTAAACATATTCGGTCCAAATATGGTGACTACTTTGGCATAACGGTTGCTGGTTATCCAGGTTTTTTATTTATTTTTTATATTTAAATTTCTTTCTACTGCTTTCTTTTTTATATTATTTGATTCTGAAAAAAAAAAAAAAATGTAAATAGACGTTGATAATAACTTATTTTCTTTTTAGAGGGACATCCTGATGTCATCCAAAGTGATGGATTGGCCACACCGGAGGCATATCAGAACGACCTTGAATACCTTAAGAGAAAGGTATTGTTTGTTATTATTTGAAAAAATTTAAGCTCCTTTTAAGACTTGTCTCATTAGTACTATGTTCATTTTACAGGTTGATGCTGGAGCTGATCTTATTATCACTCAACTTTTCTACGATACTGATATCTTCCTCAAGTTTGTGAATGATTGCCGTCAAATTGGAATAAATTGTCCCATCGTTCCAGGTATTATGCCCATTAACAACTACAAGGGCTTCATCCGCATGACTGGTTTTTGCAGAACTAAGGTATGCTACTTCCAACATATTTTAGGCATTAATTCATAAATTACTTCCTTCTTGATTTATTTCTAATTTTGGCCTTCCCATTTTGCTGTGCTTAATCTTCTAACAAATTTTGAAATTTAATCTACCTTGTGTTCACTGCTAGATAGACGTTTGTTAATAATGAACTTAAATTAATGGACCAATGAGCTAGAGGAAATTTTAATTAAGTATTGACCATTGAGATCAAATTTGCAAAATACTTGATCACTTGGGAAGTATTATATGAACATTTATTTGCAATTGCATCATGTTATGTTTTTTATATATGGCAAGGTTAAAAGAATTCACTCAATTCGTAGATCCTCTATTTTATCATTGGTAACAAGAAGCTGCTACTGGCAATTCCATCAGTGAATGGTCAATGCATCAATCTCCACCTTCTAGACTACAATTTTCAGCTTTATTATCAAGTATCATCAACCAGCCTTTTTACCACCTCCTAATGATCATACATCACATAATTAAAAAAATGGTCATGCATCACATATTGTTGTAGGCAAGCATGTTGAAACATTAGTCTGTCAAATTTCAGAGATAATCTTAAGGCTGATACTTAAATATTATAGACTCATCCGGAGAACCGACATTTGAATGTGCTCCCCAAATCTACTTGTTATTTTCTTCCCATAAATGTAAAACTTTCATTCTTTAAGTGTATTTAATTGTATTGGCAGATACCAGCTGAGGTTACTGCTGCCTTGGAGCCTATCAAGGACAATGAAGAAGCTGTTAGAGCTTACGGAATTCACCTCGGAACTGAAATGTGCAAGAAGATAATGGCTAATGGAATTAAGACATTGCATATTTACACTTTAAACATGGAAAAATCAGCATTGGCAATATTAATGGTTTGTTCTTATCCCCCGATAAAAATATAAAAATATCTTCTCTCGAAAAGTCAACAATATTGTTTGCATAAACTATGTCTATGTCTGTAGTTGTGCCTTACTGGATAGACTTACCTTGACAGAATCTTGGACTGATTGAAGAAACCAAAATTTCAAGGCCCTTACCATGGAGACGCCCTGCAAATGTTTTCCGCGTTAAAGAAGATGTTAGGCCAATATTTTGGTAGGCAAGAAAACTAATATAATGGTCCAAAATAGTTTTAACACTACATATGGTATCCTGCATTATATAAATTCTTTGGTAAATCTTGTGAAATGTCTGATCTGTTTCGAACAATGATGGTAGGGCTAATCGTCCAAAAAGCTACATATCAAGGACAATTGGTTGGGAACAATATCCACATGGGCGATGGGGTTATTCTCATAGTGCATCATATGGTGCACTAACTGACTATCAGGTATCAGATCTTTTTGGCTGTTAGCTTTGATGTTAGTGTAGTTGCTCATTGCGTCATTGTTTTTTACATATGCCTAGCAGTATTATTTTTTCTTTGTTATTTAGTCCAGCATGCTAACTACAATCCAGTGTGCTTATTCTGCAGTTTTTAATTTGTCATTTATTGCTTGCTTCTAATGCTAGTCGAAAATTATGATTTTATGTCATCTTTATATGTGAGCTTGTGTGCTATCAATGACAACCAAGGGTTTGTCACATTTTTTCTTTGTTTGTCTTGATTGGTTTTAATTTCAAGGAAGTTGGGACAAAACATGTGTAATATATGGCTCCATGCACAGTCAGACACAAACTATCTCTCTCACACACATACTCGGATTTGAGGTTTATGTATTTCTTGTGGGGTGTAAGGGATTTTCTTTTAATGTGTGGAAACAAGGATTGAAAGGATTGAGTGTGGACCTAGGAGTATAAAAATGAAAATTTAAAGATTAAGATGAAGGGTGAAGATTATTGCAAAATGTTTATGCCATTCCTCGCTTAATATTATTTAATGTCAGCTTTCTTGGCCTCCTAATGGTTAGATGGCTTCAGATTATTAAACAATAAAAGAGTAGACTCTAAGCTAAGTAGTTTATCCCTGTAGCTTAATGTTTGGTTTGGAGTTTTTTAAAAACAGTTTTCTGAGTTTTCAATTTGTATTTTTGTATTTTTAATGATTTGTTTTTTTTAATTTTTTTTCAATTTTTTTTTTTTTTTTTTTTTTTGCAAATTTTTTTAGATCCACTTAATCTTGATGTACTTTAAAAGTAAAAAATTTGTACAAAAATCTTTAAAAGCTTTATTGAATACAACAAAATACGAAAATGTACTGAATTTTCATAATTTATTTATTTATTTATTGTATTCTTTGTATTTGGTGAATTTTTTAAAGTTTTTCTTTCACTAATACTATACTTTTCAAGTGTATCTAGATTAGGTTTATTTAAAAAATAAAAAATTTCCATAAAATATTAAAAAAGAATACGGAAAATAAAAAACTCAATTTTCTAAAAAGTGAGTTAAACCAAACAAGGTGATATTATGGCTTAAACATGGAAGTAACATTTTTTTTAAGATATTGTAACTACTTGCAACATAAATGATAAATGTTATAGGACTAGGTTTCACACATAGGGCCTTGGAGAAGTCTTCTCAAGTATTAAAGATCTTGTAGAGTGTAGAGCATTGTACATGAAATCATTAAGAAAAGGAATTGTAAAGTTCAACTCGTCTTTTTTTTTCCCCCTCTAATAAAATTCTCTTTGATGCCAATAAAAAAAAAGGATTGTAAAGGTTTTATAGTGGCTGTGGTTGACAGGAATGGAAGGTTGGAATTAGAGAAAAGACAATAGAGGAAAAGGGCAAATGAAAACTCAACCCTAACACAGCTTCTTCTTCTTCTTTTTTTATTTTTATTTTTTTAATTCATTTGATGCTTCAAGCAAACTTAAATCTCTTTTTACTGACTCTGAAGTTTTCTGCATGGTTATACATGCCCAAAAGTAACCAAAAACTTCATGAAATAAGGGTTTAAAGAGAAAAAAAAAGAAAAAAGAAAAAAGAAAAAGGCCTTCACAAGTAGGTTGGGCTTGGCTTGCTAAGGAGCTCATTTAGGCTTGTCCAACTGTTAAGTGACTTGAGCTTGAGCTTGAGCTTGATCTTGGTATTCAAGTCATTTTTAATAAATCTCAATGTAACAACCAAGGTTTAGATTGGAGTTCGTGTACAAGTTGCGCCTACCATGATTTATTCGCATATATGTAAGCATATTGATTTAGCACTTCCTTAGTTTGATGTTACTCGCTCAGTCCCATTTTATTTGTCCATTTTGGAAATTCCAACATTTTAACGGGAAGTGCATTAAATGCATTTGAATTTGAATTCAAATGCACTATTTCCAACAATTGCCTCTTTATTTTCCACTTTCAAATAAACTTATAACTATTTATAAGGGATAGTTTTGGAAACTTGCACATTCTATGCTTTGACTTTTCAAAGTGGACAATTTTTTTGTAACATCTCAAAATGGAATTATAGAAAAACAAAACGGTACTGAGGGAATAGTTTTTTGTATTTATATATATATAATTTTTCTAGCAACATTTTCTTATGCATGTGTGCACCTCTTCCTCTAGATTTTTGTCTTCTTTTGTTTGTAATCTTTTTCTATCACTTCTCATAACTTTCATTTAGTATAAAATTTTTCCGAATCTTCCAAAATCTGGGTAGAGATAGGTTGAGAAATGGATTTGGGGTCTGTCTTCGCAAGATTTTATCATTAAAACTTGTTGACATAGAGTTTGGATGTTCCATCCTTTTTCTTTTTCCTTCTTTTTGTTTTTAAATCAGGGTTTGCATATTTGAGAAGTAGCATTCATCCATTCTTTAGCCAAGTTGAGATAAAGTTGAAAACCACCTTATCCATGCAATAATTTTCTTGGCCATATTAGTTGAGCTGAGATTAAAGAGATTGCACCAAGTTCAAACCCTGACATAGCAAATACTCTGCTTGGGCTGACTGTTAGCAGCCAAGCTGTGGGAAGGGCCCTATTAGTTTCATTATGAGATTTTGAGATGATCCGCTACGCTTACAAACTACGCCACTTATAAATAAATAAATTAAAAGTAAATAAAAAATTTAAAAACCAAGTCCATTTGTCCTTTAAGTACTTCCATTCATAATTGTTAATATACCTACATTTAGCCTTATGGTGATGATTGGATTGTGGGTGTTAATGCCTAATTCCTTTAAAAGTATTTGCCCACATAAGCTTGAAAATTCGATATCTTATTGCCTATGTTACATACATAGACTCTTTTAAATGCATGTGGTACTTGTGTCAAACACTTGACACTTGGGTGAGGGTATGGAATGCGTGTTCGATATTTGTAGTTGGAAATTAACCTACCAGCATATTTAGTAATTTGGGTTAATCATTAAGCTAACTCATATTATGCATGAAATGATTATGACGCCACGTGAACGTTATTCTATCCTAAAAAATAAAATAAGCATATTAAGAAATTTGAATATTTTGTTGTGTTTGTGTGTCCTTAGACATGATAGTAGATGAATCATACACTTGGACACATATCCACACTTGACACCCCTGTTTTTTTTTGTGTGGGTACATCGGAGATAAATGACACCCCTACTTAAGTCCATGTAACATGGCCCATGGCTTGACATAACCATTGCTCTTGATGTTGCCACATGATAGTAGATGAATCATACACTTGGACACATATCCACACTTGACATCCCTGTTTTTTTTGTGCGGGTACATTGGAGATAAATGACACTCCTACTTAAGTCCATGTAACATGGCCCATGGCTTGACATAACCATTGCTCTTGATGTTGCCACTCCTTTTAATTCTGTTTTGAATGAAGTTTTCTCAAATTAACATAAGGTATTCTATCTTTCAAAAAAAGAAAGAAAGAAGGTATTAAGCTTCCTTTTTTCTTTGACAAATTTCACTTTCTCCCCCTATAGGCCATGTGCTCATAACTCCCTGTCATTTGGAGAATCACTTTTAATCCTTATAAGTTGTAGACTAAAAGGCACCACCATAGTTTCCATTCAAATTAACGAAAAGTGCATTACGTGGTCCTAAATTCTAAATGACAAGAGGCTATGTGTAAATAACCTATACCACAAGCGGTAAAGTGAATGATTTAGTTCATAAGAGAAGAAGATAAGGGTTTTTTGGGTCAATTTACAAGTATCATTAATAGAAGTTAGTGGTTTGTTTTAGCTCCCAAACCACAAGGGGTTAAGTAGTTATTACTAAAGGGGTTATGTGCATATGGCCTCTATGTCTTTTACCACCCTCCACGTGTATCAAATTAGTTCTCCTCTAAGAAGCACGAACACTTCTAAGAAGGTGACTACATTTGATTGGATCCTATTAAAAACTCTTTGATCAACAAAATAACAACAAATTCCTTACTAGATTTCACTTATTATACGTTGTATAGGGTTCCTAGGTCTATTTTTTTAATGTCAAGAGAGATTATATTATGTCTTTGAATAATTTTATGGTTCTTGGGATTTGGACATTGTTGCTTATGATTTGGGTTTTGACATTGTTGCTTACCTAGGAAAAATAACTCAAGAATGGTATTCATGGAAGGACAGGAAAAAGTGAGGAAGAAGAAGGCTCTAGGAATCCCACTAAATTTCTCAAAAATAACCCCCCAAAGGCAAAGTTGGACAAAAGATTATGCAAAATCACATAGGTTTCAATCTAATTCTCTAAAACTCAAATTTATAGGAAAAAGGAATTACACTAATAGTTCAAATAATAAGCTACTGGGGTTTTGATAAATTTTTTATTTTACAACTTCTAAATTAGGAAAGTAAGAAACTTTGACAAAGGACATATTTGGACGTAACAATAGCCATATATGAGACCTAAAAACCTAATTTAACCAATAAATTGATTCATGGCCGATCCTTGCAGCCTTATGTCTAGCAATTTGCAAACGTACACCATAACTACTAAAACCTAATAAAAGCCAACAAATTTGTTTAGTAGCATTCTAACCTGTAAAATATAAAAAATAAAACTGAAATTAACCATAAACTTGATTGTAAAGCCCTATGTATGCTCTATGTGAAATTTTGGACTTGCAATTTTTCTTCTTTCCATACTTGTCAAAAGTTGTTTGAGATGATTTGGCTGAGCATTTGAATGTGGACTAACATGCTGGTATGAATGAGCAATTTGATTAAAGTTAAAGGTGTCAAAAGGACAAGGGGGAAGGCCAAAAAAGGACATTGATTGAGGTGACATGAGACGTTGCAACTGCCTTGGATTTTACCAAGGATATAACTTTGCATAGACACAACTCATGGAGAGAGATTCATTTAGCCGGTCCCGAGTTAGGGATTAGTGCCTAACATTTGATATTTTACCTTCAGCATCACTATTAGAAACTAAGCAGCACATATATGGACACATAAGTGTTCCACAAGATTAGGACACTCCGACACAACAACATGAGAAGGATTACAGAATTCACATTCTTTTAAATTTTTCTATATGCAACATAATGTTCATGAGATTATTTTCTCCTCTTTTCTTTTTTGTTTTTTCTTCAAATCTTTGAGCCTTTTTTGCTTTTGCTTTTGTTTTTGTTTTGTAATTAGTAAATAAGGGCTTAGACCCGGAACAATTGCTTTGCTGAGAACATCTCCTCTTTCATCAATCTCTCTCTCATGTGGCTATTTTGTGATGTTCCCAACAGTTCATGCGACCACGTGCACGTGACAAGAAACTTCATGATGAATGGGCTGTCCCTTTGAAGAATGTTGAAGATATTCATGAGGTATGGTTTTCAACTAATTTATCCCATCTCTGAATGCCAATGAAAAATAATTTCCCATTTAAATGTGGCCCTTCTGGAATTGGTACATATCAGAAATTTATGAAGTACTGCCTTGGGAAACTGAGAAGTAGCCCTTGGTCGGAGTTGGATGGCCTTCAGCCAGAGACAAAGATCATCAATGAACAGTTGGTGAACATGAACTCAAAGGGTTTTCTCACGATAAATAGTCAACCAGCTGTTAATGGAGCAAATTCTGATTCCCCGTCTGTTGGTAAGTGCAATGCCTGCATGAGTGTATCCTGTAACATATCCTCTCAAGACTTCCAGTATATAGAAAGTAAATCTCACTGTTAAACATTATACATGCATGCATTAATGCCCATTTACTGGATTTTTAAAACTCATGGACAAATTTGTGAGTCTTCTATTTGTTCCAGATTTCTCTACTTCCAAGCTATACCCATCTTCCAACTCTCTCTCTCATGCATCTCTCCTTGTTTTTTAAAATAATTCAAAATTATTGTAACCAGGTGAAAAGCATCTAGTTAATTTGGCACACGAGTGAAACTCGATTCACCTTTTATGTGCAAATGTACTTAAGATTTTCAGGCCTACTGTGGCTGTCATAATCCAATTTAGAAAATGGCTTTCCCTCCAATTTTTTTGATTCCAATTTTGCGGTCAACACAAGAGAAAATAAAAGTTAATGAAGGACTATCACGGTGTAGAGTGTGCATTTGAGTTCCCTTGGATTAATTTATTGTTGGCTTAATACTGTGGTGTGTGTTTTTCAGGATGGGGTGGAGCAGGTGGATATGTGTACCAGAAGGCCTACGTAGAGTTTTTCTGCTCCAGGGACAAGTTGAATGCTCTTGTTGAGAAATGCAGCGCTTTCCCATATGTGACGTACATGGCTGTGAACAAAGACGGAATCTGGATATCTAAAGTCGGCCAAACTGATGTGAATGCGGTGACATGGGGAGTATTCCCAGGCAAGGAGATCATCCAACCAACTGTGGTGGATCCTTCCAGCTTTATGGTGTGGAAGGATGAGGCATTTGAGATCTGGTCAAGAGGATGGGCTCAGTTATACCCAGAGGCTGACCCATCCAGAAATCTGCTCGAGGAGGTCTGTTTTCTTCTTCTTCTTCTTCTTCTTCTTCTTCTTCTTCATATATACTCATCATCTTCTTGATCATCTACTGATTTTATTGTGTTTCCTTTTAACCATGAATTTGGAAATTTCCCAGTCGATTAGATTAGATTAGATTAGATTAGATTAATGTAATGTTGTCATTATTTTTATGTTAACAGGTGCAGAGCAGTTACTTCTTGGTCAGCTTGGTGGATAATGATTACATTAGTGGTGATTTGTTTGCTGTTTTCAAAGATTTCTGAGATGAGAGACAGATGGATTTTCTCACTATATTAAATGCTGCCGAAGCAATTATTAATTGTAATTGAAATAAGGTAGACTACGGTTATTGTTATTGTTTGTGATAGATTGGATTGGATTATATTTTCTACTCCTAAATTGCTTATATGTAATAACAATTAATTCCTTCTGGAATTTTTGATACCTTCCTGTCTTCATAATGCAAATTGCGTATGGAGGAGTGGGGTAGCCATTTTAATTCATCTATAAGCAGATTTATGCCCTGCTTTTTGTGTTTCAGTTTCTGATATCTTGTTGGTAACAATATATATACTCTTCAAGATGAGTAAGTGGTGTGTGTATCCAATGGATTATGCAGGGAAAGGCCCACTACTACTACTACTACTTTCATAATCAGTTTAGCTGTTTGCGTTCTCTTTCTTGCAGTTGTCAATTTAGGTCAATTGCCACCCACCAATTCCATCCCTTACATTCTAGATCGGTATGATCGCCTGCCCCCACTCTCCTAAGCCACCATCCATCTCTGTCCTAATTGCTCTCCTGTTCCTCTGCTGCTGCCTGCTTGGCAAAGAGCCTAATGCCTTGATTTCCTTTCCAGTAAAAGCCTCCTTTACTATGACACCCCAAAGAATGCCTTGTAGTATAACTATATGATTATCCATCTTGAATATTCCGAGTCAAATTAACTGTCTCATTATACAAAATACTTGAGGTAAAGTTTACAAATGAGTAGTTAGAAAATTTTGAACATGTGAATGTCACTATGAATTGTTAAGACATAGGAATTAGTCACCTCTTGAACATAGTGAGCAAGTGTGTATCACATCAATAGTATTTTTATATGACATGATCGAATACTTAGCTTAATTTAATTGTTCTACAATACTCTAGAGATAGAAACATGAATTGATAAGATGAAATCTTAGAAGATGAGTTCAATTGGTAAGAAACTTAGAAGTGAAAGACATGTCTTGATAAAACAAACTTAAGAAGAGAAATACTTGAAAATTATTAAGAGGTAAGGGACATATTAAGTTTAAAATTTGTGAATGCTAGAATGTGCCTATGCATTAATTGGGGAGCTTAAAGGCCTTAAACTAATGTACTTGTCATTTTGATGCTAAGTGACATTTTACTAATCAGGATTAGTGTTAATTAAGTAAGATTAGTGAGCCTTAATCAATATTAATTAAGTCAAACAAGATTAAGTTTAAACTTGATTAATTAGAGACTAACATTGATTAATTATAACTCAGATTGATTAATTAAACGAATACTTGTTATTGATTGTTTTATGATAATAATACTTTTATCTGGTGATTTCATTAGCACTTTGTCTCTTATTTTAGTGGCAAAGTGCAAACTAAAAAAAAAGTGCAAATGATATCACCAAGTAAGGATATTATTACACTAAAATTTAATTAATGTGTCATGTGCTTTACATATGATTTGATTTTTAAATATAATAAGATTAATACTTTAAGGGAGTTTATTGTTGAGTTTTGAATTTTAAGAGGACAGTGCAAATGGGTCATAATTAAAGGGGTTCACTATAATTTACCCCAAAAAAAGCCCCCCAAAGATTTTTTTATTTTGTTTTATTGATGTAGTAAATTATTTAAAATTAGTAGATAGTTGTTTCTCAAATATATGGATTTGGATTATGTATAGAGTGTCATTGACTATACGGATTATAATTTTTTATGGAGAAATAAACTTTTTATAAGTGAATTGATTAAATTTTACCTCGTCAATTATATCACAAGAATTGATTGAATAAATTTGATTGATAAGTTGAGTTATACAAGTTTTGTGACGCTCCAAATCTACACTATTGGTTGTAGAAAAAGGAAAGTCACTAATGAGTCTTATAGTCAATAACCAAGTAAGATCCCAGATCGCCGGAGGAATCAAATTAGCCTCCCTTCTAAGTCCAGCTTTCTTAGGTAGTGCACTACCTTTTTGACAGATCTTAAGAGGCATTGACACAAGGTCTCGTAAGCGACGTCAGGGGTTATATTGGTGTTAGAATATAAGTACATAATAACAGAATAATTACGAATATCCTTGATTACAAAGGCTCGTTCCATTAACATTACATCCTAAAAGAAAATTTAAATTTTTATATGAGCCTTACAAAACATCAAAAAAGAAATTTCTAACTTTTCTAAGATAGCCAAATGTCTTTGAAGGATTCCGGCTCGTTATCTCCTGCTATAAGCTCCTCTTTGGCACCTGGCATGATACGCTTTGAGTTTTAAATGTCCAGTAAACGCACACACACCCATCCCTTTTCCCAGTCCAATACACCACACATTTACAAAAAGACAGATGAAAGGATCATGGCATTTAAGTTCATAGCACTGATTATATGGTTAGTTGTTAGTAGTCTAGAAATCCCCCCAAGAGATTTCCACTCTGGCGATATTCAACCGATATATTAGCTTCTGTAAGACCCCAAAAAATTCTGAACTTCAAAGAATATATTATCAATTAAATACAGGGTTTATCTAAGGATAGGAGTTTAGGAAACGACACTAATGAGTCCTATGGCCAATAACCAAGTAAGATCCCAGATCGCCGGAGGAATCAAATTAGCCTCCCTTCTAAGTTCAGCTTTCTTAGGTAGCGCACTACTTTTTTGACAGATCTTAAGAAGCATTGACACAAGGTCTCGTAAGCGACGTCAGGGGTTATATTGGTGTTAGAATATAAGTACATAATAACAGAATAATTACGAATATCCTTGATTACAAAGGCTCGTTCCATTAACATTACATCCCAAAAGAAAATTTAAATTTTTATATGAGCCTTACAAAACATCAAAAGGGAAATTTCTAACTGTTCTAAGATAGCCAAATGTCTTTGAAGGATTCCGGCTCGTTGTCTCCTGCTATAAGCTCCTCTTTGGCACTTGGCATGATGCGCTGTGAGTTTTAAATGTCCAGTAAACGCACACACCCATCCCTTTTCCCAGTCCAATACACAACACATTTACAAAAAGACAGAGGAAAGGATCATGGCATTTAAGTTCATAGCACTGATTATATGGTTAGTTGTTAGTAGTCTAGAAATCCCCCAAAGAGATTTCATCCTCCCAACTCCAAGAATTGGACGCGGATTATTCGGTATGCCCCCTCTTTTGCTGCTTTGTTGTAGACCTTACCTTGGATACCTACCAACGGTTATATACTGCGTAGCGCCAACCGAGGGCCTCAAAAGAGACGGTAATGATGGGCTTAGCCCAAACCCCTCCTTATACCGAACTACTTAGAGTTCGAATACAACCACTCCATTCAAGGGTTTCGAACAACTAGTTGCGCAAGACTTGCTCATTTTAATCCACTACTAATATCAACTTAACATTCTCATCATTTATGATGTATGACTAGTGTGGTCGTTAACCTTCTTTACCAACCCATTTAGTTTTTCCCTTTTTCACATTAAGTTCAATACACATTAGTGGTTAGCACAAGTAAGAGAAAAACAAGGGCATTCAAGGTGAAACTCAAGCATGCAAGTATAACATGTATTATAACAAATATGTCATGATAGCACAAAAGCATTGGCCACAACAAGAACTACACTGTTCAGATTTCCAACACTGCACCGGTTCAAAAATAAATATAGAAAAAATATTTTTAAGGGTTTCAGAAATGTGGATTCTAGAGTGTACAGAATCAAGTCTATTTTCAGAATCATTTTACAGAAGTAGGGTGGCCCTTTTTGATTTTTAGATATTTAAGAAATACACAGACTCTACCCAGATTTGACAACGGTTACAAAATTTGGCGTTTCTCTTAAAATACTCATTCATTTTCATTGAAATAATTTTTTTGAAAGATAACCTTCAGAGGAATATTTTGATATAAAAATGAGCCTGAGATCATTTTTCTATAATTTTCTAAAATTTCTTAAAGCTCCCTGTTTTAAACAGGTTCTTGCACCAAATATTTAGAAAAATAAAAGGAGCCATAAAAACACATCCATGGTCTTAGCCAAAATTTTCACATACTCTATACATGTCAATTAATACCCCTTTAAAACAGATTTTGAGTTGGTGAAGGTTTGCTATGGAAATAAAATCAAAAACCTTGAAGAAAAGTTTGCTAGAAATTGCAAGGAAGAAGATGAACATTTCATTTTCAAACCATACATCATCTAACAATGTAGTAACTCTTAATATCATGTGAAATATATTTTTTTAGCATATATTATGAAGGGAAAAACATGATGATTCATTGAGAGAAGAGGTGTATGAGGTTTACCTTGGTTTGCTAGATCTTTTTCTTACTTGTTGCTCTCTTTTCTTCTCTTTTTCTCTCAAGCTCACTTGCTCTCCCTTTCCTCCTCTCTCAGCTGTGTGTTGTGTGTGTATGGAGTGAAATAAAATAGCTAGCAAGGCTTGTATTTATAGGCCAAGGAGGAGAGAGAAGGGTTGGTTTGGTTTGGTTTGGTTGGTTTGTAATTGGATCCAATTAAGATTTGTGTTAATTAATCTTGATTAAGAGAAGGTAATCCTATTTACTAGTTAATTGGGAGACAAAAAAGATATAGCAATAAATGCCGTCCATTCCTCCATGTTGGTCAAAGATTTGTTGCATATTTGACAAGATTTGCTATGTATAAAAAATACACTTCTAGGTCCTTTTCACCACCTATAGCCAGCTACCTATTTACCCATTTGAAAATTTGATTTTTTTGTTAATAAAATATAGAGGATATTTTGTATAAATTAATAAAATATTGGTTGTATCTTTATTGAATAAAATATTAAGGTTTTGGGGCAAAAATGCAATAATGAAGAAAGAAAAGGGTACAATCGGAAATTTTGAAATAAAACATATGTTTAAGTTATATAATTAATAAAATAATGATAGGAAAAATAATTCGGGCCACGTGGTTCCGATTCGCAACAAAAGGCGAGATACCAGGCTAAAACTGCGATTACTGAAAACTAAGGTTTTTCTCTTATAATTCTTCATTCTAGGGTTTCTAAATTATTAATTCAGGGTTTTAAAATGTTTCCCGAATTCTTGATTTCTAGGGTTTAATTTGCAAGAAATGGAAAAATAGGATTCTTATTGAAATTCTTCAACTATAAGCGTTTGGGAACATTACAAAAAGTTACGGCCTTGATTAGTATACAACTAATAATTTGAGTTTTATATTGAAAAATTTGAAAGTTTAAAATTTTTAAATAAAATTTTAATTATGAACGAATTTGATTTTGCAAAAAAAAAAAAAAAAAAGTAGTTTAAAAATTGGTCCATATTAAAGCTCACTTTGGATTTTTTTAATTGATAAAAAAACCCATATTAAAAGTTTGCTTTGGGACCTAGAAAAATTAAGACTTTTATACCAGCTGATCCCAATAATTGAATATTACCCATTAGATCTTAAGTTTCTATCTCATGCACCAGCAAGTCCGGTTATATTTTTTTTATCCCGATTTTGCCTCTGTTGTTATATTTTGCGCATTTGGTTTGAATTTTGTGGTTCTATTTGATTTTTGTGAGCTTTTGGGAGCAAGAATTTGAATATGGAACTGATTTGTGAGTGAATGGAACTGATTTACTTGGGGATTATTGGTGAGTGGAATCTGTTTGCGATTTGGAGTTGAATTACAATCGATTTGGAGTTGATTGCAACTGATGATCATGGAGTTTTGCTGCAACTGTAGTTGATTTTTGCGATCAGGTTCGTGATTTTGTTAGGTTTTTGGTTCGTTCGATTGATATACATATATATGCATCTATATCTATATCTATATATATATATGCAATTCTATGATTCTGCGATTCTTCGATTTGTTGATATTGGAAACTGTTTGGTTATGTATGCAGAGTCATATACTTTTTGTTTGAGTTTGTGATTTTGATTTGGTTTTTGATATTATTGTTATGATGTTGTTGTTGTTGATATTGAAATTTTATTTTGATGATGATATTGAAAGGTTTGAGATATATATATATATATATATATGTGATGAATATTGAATTTTTTTGTTGCAAAATTGTTTTGGTTGAACACAGTTGTTGGTTTGTTATTTTCTATTGTGATAAAATTTATCAGTGAGTATAGGAAGAGGAGATGAAAAAGTTACATAGTGGTTTAATTGTGTAGGTAAATTTTGTTATTTTCTATAGTGATAAAATTTATCACTGTTGGTTTTTGGATGTGTTTGAGTTGGTTGATAATTTTATCACTGTATTAGAATTTGTTTTAGGTTGTTTGAGTTGTTTGCTGAAATATAATTTTTGTTTGTGACAGGATTTATAATGATAGATAATTCTTTGTTTCTTATGTGCAACTTTAGAGGTGTGACATTAGTTATCAAGTATAATGACGAATTTAATTTCGAGGATTTAGTATATAAATTGTGTGCAAAGTGGAGTGAGTTAGTTGGTAGTTCTTTGAATCTTTTGTATTCAATGCTTGGACATTCTTGTTGTGGTCTAGAAAGTGAAAAGGATTTGGGGAGGTTATGGTTGGACTCGCACTTTCTTGTGATATTCATCGTATTGAAGTTTTTGCTAAGTGTTGTTCTTTTAGTGAAGGTTATATGATTTGTAATGGTGAAACTAGTAGTAGTAGTAGTGTTGTTTGTGAAACTGATTTTTTGCCTTCATTTTATTCAAATGAATGGAAACCTTTGCTCTCCGATGGTTGGGTTAATTGTACGAGAGGAGTGGAACAAAGGTTTGCTCAAGGAGTTGTTGAATTTCAGGATGCATTGTCAAAGTATTCTATTCATTCTGGTTTAGATTTCAATTTTGTTAAGAATGATAAGGATTGCGTTACTGTTCATTGTAAGAGAATGGCTGATTTGGGATGTTTATGGAGCGTGCATGCTAGATTGAAAAATTCTAGTAAAGCTTTTGTTTTTAAACAATTTGACGATGTTCATTCGTGTGGATCTTCTTTTCGTATAGTTAAATATGCCAGGATAACTTCGAGTATGATTGGTGGGCTAATTTCAAGTGAGGCTCATAATAAGCCTTTGACATCGGTTAGTGTGGTGATTTGTGATTTCAAGGATTACTATGGAACATAAGTTTCTTACTGGCGAGCTTGGATGGGTGTTGGAAAAGCAAGGGGTGCTGTTTTTGGTGACTATTCATTGTCATTTGACGGTCTTCGTTAGTATGTTGATGCCGCTAATAATGTTAATCTGGGGAGTGTTTTTGACATGAAATTTGATATTGATAGTAAAGGAAGACATTTCAAAAGGTTGTTTTTCGCTTTTGAGGCCTGTATTCATGGTTTCAAGTATTGTCAACCTATGTTGATGCTTGATGGAACTTTCTTGAAAGGAAGACACAAAGGTTGTTTATTGGATGCTACGGCAAAATACGGTAATGAAAGTATATTTTGTATCTATTTGTTATTATTTTTAAAACAGTGATATCATTTTTGTTACTGGAGAGTGTTGATTATTGAGTATGGTCAATCTATTAGTGATAAATTAATCATTGGTTGGTTGAGTATGTTATATACTTTTGTTAAATTTTTATATTTATACACTAATAAATTTATTATTGATTGATTATATATGCTGTATATTGCTGTTGAATTTTTATAGTTATACAATGATAAATTTATCTATGGTTGGTGTTATATGCTATATACTTTGCGTTTTGCTTTTGTTTTGTAATCTTTTTTATTTGTTATTGATAAAGTGTATATATATATAAATTTTGTAGGTTTATATCCATTATGTTTTGCTATTGTTGATAGTGAAAGTTACGATAATTGGCATTGGTTCTTGTCAAAGTTATTGGTTATTTTGACTTTGGGAAGGGATATTGCATTTGTGACCAATCGGCATGAAGGTTTGCTGAAAGCTTTAGCTGAGGTGTTTCTGTTTTCTTCTCATTCTTTTTATCTCATGCATTTGAAGGCAAACTTGAAGACTTATTTGTTAGTGAAGAGTCATGAATCTAAAGTTTTGCTTACTCTTTTTAGTAGATGTGCATATGCTCTTACCATTGAGTTGTTTAATGAGCTATTCGAAGAATTTAAGGGTCGTTGTGGTCGTAGTGTTTAGAAGTTTCTTGAGGATTTGCCTAATGAGTGTAGGTGTAAAGCTTATTTTCAAGGCAAGAGGTATGGTGAAATGTGCACAAACGCTGCAGAATCTTTTAATTCATGGATTAGGGATGAGTGCCACTTGTTTTCAACTAGTCTTGTTGATGTTGTACGGGTGAAACTAATGGAGCAATTTTCAAATAGGAGAGAAGTTGTGAATAAGTGGAATCGTATTGTTTGTCCTTTTGTAGATAAAAAGTTAGAAGAAACTTTTAATGATACAAAAGCATGGATAGTTAAGAAATGTAGCGATGACATTTATGAAATCCAATTAGATCATTCAGTTATGGTTGATATTGGGAAACGTTTTTGTTCTTGCGATTGTGGGAAATTGATTCTTTTCTTTGCAAGCATGGTTTTTATGCTATAAAGAGGAGTGGGAAGGATCTGAATTATTTTCTTGATAATTACTACCATGTTTGTAGTTGTTGTGATTCGTATTTGCATCCTATCTATCCAGTTCCTAATATGTGAAAGCCAAATGTAGTTGTTGATGATGACGTTATTTTACCTCCTCTTTATAAGAGATCAGCTAGACATCCAAGAATAGAGAGAATACCTTCTAAGGGGAAAATTAAGAGAATTAAGGTGCAGTAGGTGTGGAAAGATGGGAACCCATAATTGGAAGACATGTAAACAAGCTTTGGTTTAGTTATATTGATTTTAATTCAATTACTTTATTGAGAATTGAAAGGTGTTAGTTGTATTGAATGCTTGGGTTTTTTTGAAAGATATATCATTTCGGTAGTTGCATTGGATGATTGAGGAATTTTTGAATGGAAATAATATTTTTTGCTCATATTTTTACAGGAATAAGTTTCACAGATTTATATTATTTGATTTTGGTTAAATGTAGTTGCTGTTTTTGGTTTTTTCTACAATGGTAAATTTATCACTGGTTGGTTAGAATGAGTTAGTAGATTATTTTTTTTAAGAGTGATAAATTTATCATTGTCTGAATGAAGCAGTCAAGCATTAATGGGGTTGCTGAATTTTGTTATTTTCAAGAATGATAAATTTCACTGCCTGTATGAGAAGAGTTGATGGTTTCTTATATTTATGTCAGTGGCTGATAAATTTATCACTGTTATATCCAATCAAATATTTTTTTGTACAGTGATAAATTTATCACCGTCTTAAACCCAACACAAATCAATCGTAGGCAGCTTGAGGCTAGGTTTCCCAATCTGTCCTACATAACTGCCACTATGCCATTAACTAAGTGGGATTCTTGAAGCAAAATATTTCGAGTTTGCAATTCATTTTCACTTTAAATTGTTCAACACTTCAATCTAGGAAATGCTTTAGCCATGTCATGTTCAGATGCAATAGCTTAAGCCAGTGATAAATTTATTCCTAAACTTGGAAATATCAACAAACTGTAACAGTGTTTTAATTTTCAATCTAGGTAAATTTTTCATTATTTTTTATAGTGCTTTGTTTACTTGAATTGGAAAAAAAGAATGAGAGAGGGAGTTACTAGTTTTTGTTAGTTTGAACAATGACGTTACTAGTTTTTGTTAGTTTGAATAATGATAAATTTATCAATGTAAAAAAAGAAAAAAAGAAAAAAAAGTGTCTTGTTAATAATCAAGGAATCCAAACATGTTATTAACCTTTAAATTTGACACAAATAATCATATTATAATTAATATTTTGAATGCTTCATTCAAGCATGAATAGTAAATCAGAGAGCAAGAGAATTGAAGTAAAGTAATATTCATTCAAACATGAATAGTAAATTTGACATTGTAACAACCAAGTATTGTAATATTCATTGAAGCAAAGTAAGAACCAAAATGACCAAAATATAGGTAACACTGTAACAACCAAACAAGAAAAATATGTGAACTATTCACATTGTAACAACCAAATTAATCAATGTTTTCTTCTGTTTTCTTCTCTTCCAAATATGTTGATTGTTGTGGAGTCAATTCATCAATATTTTCTTTTGTTTTGTTTTATACATCTGCTAATTCTTGTGGAGGCAAGTCATCAATGCTTTCATCAACTATTTGTTATAGAGTAATTTGTTTGTCAATCAAGAAGATAGTTAATATATAGACTCTCAATTGATTACATTCTTTATCGGAAAAAGTAGGCATTATGTTGTTGTTGGAAACATATTGTCTCATGATATAGCAAACAATGATTCCGCAATCAAGCTTGCAAAAACATTTTGAGAACAAAATATTAGCATTTTGTTTCATTGGATTTTTTTATAAGAGTGCTTTGTTATTGATAAACTTACGAAGTGTCTCCTTATTGTAAGCTATTTATGACACTCTCTGTCTGTTGTTAAAATTTATCAGGGGTGATGAGAGTAGGCTGCTCATTCTTTATGTATTTGTCAATAATTTTTATCACTGAATTAGGCAAACTATGACGGATTTATCACTCAATTAACCAAATTAAGCAAATATATCACTGTATAGCAAATTTTACATTTCAAATTACAAATGAATATGAAGATATCATAATGAGGATGGATACGACTGATAATTTTAAATTTATAAAATATGTTATAAATTTAAACAACATAGAAAATATGCTTTTAACTTGAACCTATTCATATTTTATGTATGTTAGAAATGCACATCAAATGAGTGTCCCCTACTATCTCCTTAGGCTCTTAAGGTAACTAAAACTAATATCACTTATTCTCCCAAAAGTAAACAAAATTTAGAATCGATTTGCATTAAAACTTACTAAATTGATTTGAAACCATAGAATGCTAACCGCATTCAATATACCAACAATCAACTCAACTTCACAACATAAACAAAAATTCATAAATAAATAATTTTCTACTGTAAATGAAATGCCATGAAGATTTATCAGTCAATTAAGTTAAGCAAACAAATAAAGGTTATACACTGAATATTAAGAAAAATTTATCACTGAACTAGGCGAACTATGAAAAATTTATCACTCAATTAGCCAAATTAAACAAATCTATCATTGTATAGCAAAATTTAAATTTCAAATTGCAAATGAACATGAAGATATCATGATAAAGATGAATACAACTGATAATTTATCATTGCATAATACATAAAATCAACATACATAGGTTCAAGTCAAATTTTAATTTATGTAATGAGGATTATAAAAGAAGAAGCGGAGATGAGCATGACTCACGTTTTATCGGCATGATTATCGGAGATCAACTAAATCGGGAGAGAGGAGTATGTCAGAAAATGCTAGACATGTCTTCAGAATCTCGATTTCTTCCAAATCTCGATTAAAACATGGGAGATTAAGAAAGGTTCTACACATAAATTAAGTTAAGCAAACAAAGGTTATTTGAAGCACCATTTGCATCTAAGATATATTATTATCTTAATAATAGACATTTTGGTGCACAATATGGTTTTATCTTCAACAAGAAATTTTTTTTGTTCATTCTATTTTTCATTCAAAACTTATCATAACTTGTTTGTGCTAGTCAAGAAGTTTGTTGAAATGTGGTCTCACTGTAGTAAAATAACCTCAATTCTAATACACAAGTTTTGATTAGATAACTAGAACATGTGTCAGATAACCATCAAAATTCGAACGAAAAGCCACAATCTATCTTGAGTGATAATTCGACTAACTTCTTGTCAAAATTTTCTATCTGCTTTTAACTTGAGCCAGTTCACATTTTATGTCTTTTAGAAATGCACATCAAATAAGTGTCCCCTACCATCCTATTAGGGTCCTACCATAACCAAAACTAATATCACTCATTTGAAAAGGTAAACAAAGGTTATGCACTGAAGATTAATCTTATTTATCATTGAACTAGGCAAACTATGAAGAATTTATCACTCAATTAGGCAAATTAATGAAATATATAACTGTATAACAAAATTTAGATTGCAAATTGCAAATGAGCATGAAGATATCATAATGAAGATGAATATGACTGATAATTATCATTGTATAATACAGAAAATCAACATGAAAAATTTATCACTGAACTAGGCAAACTTATCACTATATAGCAAAATTTAGATTGCAAATTGCAAATGAACATGAACATATCATGATGAAGATGAATACGACTGATAAATTCTTCATAGTTTAATATAGAAAATCAACACACATAGATTCAAGTCATGTTTAATTTACATAATTAGGGTTATGAAAGAAGAATGAGAGATGAGTATAACTCACGTTTTATCAGAATGATTATTAGAGATCAACCAAACCAGCAGAGATGAGTTTGTTCGAATCTTAATCAAAATGTGGGAGATTTCTTCGAAATTTGGATCAAAACAATGGAGATCTCTTTGAAATTTTGATTTCTACGCAATCTGGATCAAAGGTGTGAGAGATCCCTTCAGAATGAAAATGCCAAAGATCTCGTGGATTGTTCAAAATTGGCAAAACCCGTTTGAGAGACGATTGAGACATCGCATGTCTTTTACGCGCACACTTGGGGGAGAGAGAAGTTGTGAGCAACGGTGTGTTTCATGCTTGTGATAACCAAGGGTAAAATTAAAAAACAAAAATGGGAGGACTTGATGGGTATTAAGATTGAAAAATGGGACTGTCTAGTAACTTCTCCAAAAATTAAAACCAACTTGAACCCAACACTTCTTTCCCTTTTCACTTTTCACCTTTTTTTTTTAATTAGAAAAACTTTTTAATTTATTTTTTTATTATTGCACTTAGCACATTTGCACTTTGACCAAAATTTTACTTTGATGCCTTCACTTTCAATTATAATAGTAATCCTTCACATTTTAAATAAAGTTCCAATGTAACAACCTCGACCTGTGATTAACTGTTAAATCATGATTAAGCATGCCTAATAAGTAATTAAGAGGAAATTCTATATGAATTGCATGTGTATTGTGTTATATGTGTTTATATTTGTTTGGCATAGGAAGATCTGTCTGTGTTTCTGTTTCATTATGCGAATTCAAGGCCTTATTGGCATCTGATCATGAAATTGACTTGGTTTATATGTCATTCGGAATTTTTAGAATTTCATGGTAGGTTTAATTGAAATTTGATTTGGAACCAAATCATTAGAATAAAATGAATATAATTGTTTAATCTAAGCAAGAATTAATTAAAGCCACCAATGGACCTATATAAGCCTAATGTTGTCTCATACCACACACACTTCATCATCTTTTGACATCAAAACCGTGAGAGAGAGAGGGAAAGTAGGAAGAAATTTGTATTCGAGCTTGGAATTGTAGAGAATTGGAGAATTCAACTTGGAAACTCAAAGAATTGGACATCTAGAGTACAACTGAACACTTAAGGTAAGAATTGAAGCCTTTAGCTTCGTAATTAAGACACTTATCACATGAATACAAGAGAATCAAGTTGAATCATACATGAATTGAGCTTAAGAGTGTAGAAAAGTAG